TAAGGAAGCACCGGATGGCTGTTACGAGCACATAGTGTTTCCTTGAATAACCTTTGGTTTCTAATATTTCTCGAGTTATAGTGTGTTAAGCAAGAGAACACGTTAACATAAACAACAGTTTCTGGCTGCAGAGATACATAAAACCTAACTGTGCATTATTTTATGATTCTTCTTACATCGAAATATTCATCCAGTAAATCAATACGAATTTACACTAGGCTAAAGCCTATCGTTAAACTTCATTTAGTTTATATAAATTGTTAATGCTTAAATGAATTATGCTAATCAAATAAGACGTTAAATTAAGTGTAAACAGATAACTTGAGCTTAAATTACCGAAATGTTTTTGACGGTAACATCGAGTAACGTCAATATCATCAAATCTAAAGATGAAGTGAGGTGAAAATAAGTCCATTTTTCAATATAAAAAAGTAGTTGAATCTCAACATAATTTAATAAAGTTTTTCAGTGAAATATATATAATAATTTTATGATTGCAAATTGCAGTATATTATTCCAATGATAATACTGAAATTGTCACTTAAATTAATAAGTTATTCGACATCAGAAAAGGTTTTATGGATATTATAGTAATTTGAATGGTTGAGATCATGAGTCGATTGAAGCTAGACTACCATGGAAAGTCTGGAAGCACTGGATCGTCGTTTCATTGTACTGTGGGGCTCCTCAGCAATGCTCAGTGACCAGCAGTGAGCAGTGAAGTTAAAACGGGTCCGTTGTGAGATAGTAACTCACTGAAGACAATGGTGGATTAGTCGCTCAATTTCATGGATTACTTGAAGTAAGACGTTAACGCCGTTTGATGCCGGCCAGCTCAGTTGTGTAGATGTTAAGCGTTCTTGCACGAGACTGGTGGGTCCTCGGTTCAAATCTCGCGAGGCGGGATCGTGAATGCGCACTGCTGAGAAGTCCCATAATAGAACGAAACGGCCATCCAGTACATCCAGGTTTTCCATGGTGGTCTAGCTTCAATTGACTCATGATCTCAACGATTAAAATAGATGTTCTTTACAAACAGATGTTCTTTACAAATAGATGTTCAAAAATTAGTCTAGAATTAAACTACTAATCATTAGAGATAAAATCAGTATGAGAATAATTGTACTGAGATGTATAAATCTACCCGTCTTTTCCGTCTTTGGTTAGGTCATATAGTCATATTCGAAATAGGAGAATTGTGTTACGAGTAAATGGAGGTCAAACGCAATTATCGTTGAATAACAATGCTGGTGAGCGGCCTATGCTCCTTCGCGAGGAGTACACAGGGTTAGTAGTTAAGTAAGTAACAATCTCCATGGTGAAAGGTAGGCGATTTTATGTTAATTGATATATGACAATGTTTATATCTAAAACGCTTTATAAGAAGCAATTAGAAGTTATATCAAAAGGCTATCGCTACTATACCCTAATTTGTGCATAAACAATTTATACCCTTGGAAACCGAACACATTTTGATTACAATTAGTGGTGAATGAATTGAAAAGCTTTATTTTAACGAAAATACAGTTATTTGTAGGACAAGTCCAGTTGTAACTGTGAATATTAAAATGTTAAACTTAACGATATATCCAAAAACTTATAAAGTATTTATAAAAGTATTCTTTTATTCATTCATCTCATCTTAAAGATATTTAATGTTCATATTAACTAATTTGTAAATACTTCTTTGAAAGTAATTAGTTGTAATTATTAGGTTGATTTTTTATCATTTAGGAAACTACTTTATCTGATGGATAATAATTCACAGGCTTCATGGTTTATTATTATTTTTTATTTTTTTTGGTAGTATGTTCGTTCTGTTGACAGTTACATAATAAGATTTTCTTTTCTTGTTAAAATGAAAGCATTATAAGATGACGACTCTGCCTGAAGCCCCTCTGGAGCCACTGCCGGTTTCACGCCCGAATAAAGGTAGAGGGTTGGGCATGGTATTAGCAACCCCATCCTGTAGAAAACAAACTCGTTAAAAAGAACGCTAACCAGAAAAAACAATTCAAATCATGATAAGATGACGTTTACAAAATAAATTTTTTGTAACTTATAATTACGTGATTATGAACAATTCTCAGAAGTCTTCTTAACATTCTGTTAATTTTGTTTCATTGTTACTTCTAGCTGTTAACACTGTGTAATTAAGTGTAACGACAATTATTGACTTTTGGAGATGAATTAATGAAAATTTACATTTCTTTTTTTCACTTCTAGTTTAGTAAATGAGAAATACTTGTAAAGATTAGTCGTAAAAATATTTGTTCTTTAATAATAGCCAATTTTTAACTGGTAACTAGTCTTTTTTTAATCAGTAAGGAATTAATTTAATTTCTGGTGATATGGATTATTCCATTGTTGATATTTTAATTGAATTTTTATCGGCTTTGGTTGGCATATATACAGCTATATACAAAACAGATATGTGACCGGCAGTGGAAAGATGGATATGTATTTCATCTTATTTTGGAGTCTCCACCAGGATTAATCTGCATCTCTGAATTGATGGACATTTACCATCTGGAATGTTTAACATTTTGTCAAAATATTAATACTGAAATAATCTAAAGCACTAAAAAAAATTAAACTTCATACAAATTGCACAAGTTAACGGTTATCTGCACTCAACAGCTAGGTTAATAAGGTGTTGGAGTTTGAAGCAAAAGTAATAGGTTTATATTCTAAAATGAATATCAACTTTAGGATTCGGGTACATTTAGCTTACACGTCACAAACAGATCGAAACGCGTGTCCTGAACTCTAATGCTAGCTAGCATTTATCTATTCGATATAGACGTAAATCAGTTTTTACACACTTATGCTTCAGAAATATTAAAATCCAAAACGGTACTGAACGCCTAATATGTGCATATTCTTATTTAAACTCACCATAATATAATTTTATTTGAATGTAGTCTTCTTTGTTCGATGAACCATTAAGAACGAGGAAGTTGTAGTCAGTTATGTAGCTTATATTTAAAACGTCTACACGGTTAGAACCTGCTGTTTTATATATAAATGAACCCACAAACTATGTATTTAGCGACTATCACAACGAATGGTAAAGTTAAGAGATATTTGAGGATAAGATAGATATTGCCAACGTTCGCTTCTCAGACGAGGTGCTCACTGCTTTGAGGCCCCAAAGGTAAAATAAAATACCTCTCCAGTACTTACAAACTCTTACTGATTTTGCAGGGAATAGTGACAAGTGTTTTTTTAATTAATTTTATCTTTACATATCTACTATGTAGACAGTTAAATTTATTGAATTTTTTTGCTGTAAATGTTTCTTTTTGGGAAATATCTGTGTTTTATTGTAATCGAATTCATGAGTCAATTGAAGCTAGACCACCATGGAAAAGTTGAAAGCACTGGTCGGCCATTAAGTTGCGGATGCTCACTGTTGAGTACCACACCACGACGAAATGGCTGTACAGTGCTTTCAAGGTTTCTTATGATGGTCTAGCTACATTTGACTCATGAATTCAACTATAAAATTACCAAGATCTCCACAAAAACCTTTTTGATGAAATATCTGTGATGAGACTATTATTTATGAACGAGCCAGTCAGAAATGTTTAAAGGTAACGGCGCCAATTTCAGTACCTGATGTTCACGTACAATCAGTTCACAGTAAATTTTAGAGAAAACGTGATGAATGAGCGACTGCAATAAATGGGACTACTAAGAAGTTCCCTTATTTGTGATCGTGCTAATCAAATGACTTGTGGACCTTGTACAGACTACCGTGATGATGATATCTTTCGATGTAATATGTGTTGGAGGAAGAAGTCTGCTACAATAAGATATTTTTCGCACTATCCAGATTGAGACTAAGGCAAATTATGACAGTTGTTGCCAGCTGGATAATAGAATCACCATTAACACTAGCTGCCACCAGGTACTACAATATATATACGAATGATTAGAGGAAGTACAGATGGCTACATAGTCTCGTTTATGTGCATCGTGGACCAAACAACTGGAGTGCACACAACCAATAGTGAAGCGGTGTGATCAAGGCTGAAATAGTTTTTACCACCTTTTCATGGCTCGACAGGCCGACTATTATTGAGCCATATGGGTGATTTCCTCTACTGTATGGATTAGGATTTTAGAAGCTCTGCACCTCTTTCTAAGGTTTACACGTTTTTTGAACCATGTAACAGAAGTGTATCCGCCTTAATTCTTTGATTTTGTATATCATATTCTTATTCTATACTGTCTTCTGATTGGCTAATATTTCTCAAGGACACTTAAGTTTCGTTCACAGATCATCCATAAATTATAGCCTGGTCATATCCATTTATTTAGAATTGAGAAGAGACACGAATGGAAAACAGTCAAATAAACTCAGTCAAATAAAATACTTTGTTTTTGTTTTTTTCTTCGTACATTCAATCAAAAATACTTATAAATATGTACATATATATATGTATATATATATATATATATATATATATATAATTTAGTAAAAATTCTGAGTTTGACATTCGGTAAATAAAGAAGAAACGAATCAAGCGAAGAGATTTATTTTCAATTAGTTACTCATCATGGCTTTGCACTACTATATACATATGATTTAAAATAATAAAATATTACTCATTGAGTGGATACGTTTCGTAATAATTATATAATGATATATCGATTATAAATTGGCAGAAAGAGGATTCATCATAATCAAAGTAATTGTTCGAAAATCCAGCAACTATAAATGATGATTAATCCTCTTTCTTCTAATTTATAATCGATATATGATTATATAATTATTATGAAACGTATCCACTCGATGAATATTATTTCATTATTATTATAAATCATATATACAGATTGAAAGGAGATCTTTCCCGTTGATTCATTCCTTCTTTATATATTGTTTAACTACAATGTTGAAAAATCGTTAAAAGTGTCAGAATCTTTATTCTTGCTCTTTTCAAAAGTATATTAATCCAAAATGTCAAGAGGGTTCATTATTATTATTATTATGATTATTTACAATATTTTCTTATTTTATAATAAAATATTAAATAAATTATTATTGTTATTACAGGTATTAAACATAATTCTAAATGATACAATTCATTTCTAATCATATAATAATTCATATTGAATGTAATATGAAAATATACCATTACTGATTTTTCAATATTACGCCATAATTTTAATATCACAATAATAATACTATCAAGAAGATATATGATTGTTGTCAAATGATCAATCATTATATAGAAAGTATTAAAGCTTCTATAAGATGATAATCTATTGAAATAATCATCTTCTATTAATATTTTAGTTGTTTGTATTGTAGAATTTCTTTGAACTCGTCGATAAATAAATTGAAGACAATAATGTAATAGAATAATCAGAATAAATAATAATGAACATAAATGTGGTATAATAAATGAAAATAATGGATCTAAATAAATAAGAAATGAATAATAAAATTTAAAATATTCTGATCTTACATTACATGTAACCGTTTCTATCAATGTGATATTATATGTTTGATTCATTAAATGAATTGAATTAATCCAATGAAATTGTCCAAATACCCATAAATAATTACATAATGCAGAGAATATAATTGCAATAAATAAACCTGTACAAATTTTTATACTTAATAAATGTAATTTATATCGATTACGTTCATTCATTATTGATTGGGTATTTTTATTGAATCCATAGTGATTTAATAAATAAATATTATAAACACGTTCAATACCAAATAGAAATAGACACCATTCTTCAAATAATAAAAAAAATGTACCAAACATACGTTTTAAACGACAATTAATATTTAATTTTAATTTAATATTAAAATTATAATAAAATATTAATAAATTTGATATCCATGGTAACAGATCTTCAAATAGTAAATAACCAATTTGTGCAAATGCTAAAATTTCTATTAAAAAACATAAAATATACCATGCAGTATGTTCAAGATCTGGAATAGTTTGTTCATTAGGAAATGAAGATAAAGATCTATGACAGTAATGGATTGATGTACTAGGTAGTGTTAATTCTTGATTTGATTTCATATCACTTAAATTTGATTCATTCATATTAGAATTGGAATATTGTTCATAGTTTGTTAAGTGTTGATTTGTATTTCGAAAAAAAGATTTATTTATTTCACATGGTTGATTTAACTTGTATTGATCTAAATTTGTTTTTGAATTAATAGATAGATTTTCTGATTTTTCTGGAATTTCTGTTACAGAATCATCAGCATAACTACTATTTCGATGACTTGATAAAATATTCAACTCTATAGTAGTTGGTACTGGAGTGACTATAGATGAAGTTGAGAAACAATGACTATGACATTGAGTCTTGTAATAACAACAACCCCAATTCATTTCAAATTCACAACAGGAATGTGTCGACTTGGATCGAATGATGAACTCTTTTTCATCGTTCGAAATTGTACAACATTTTGATAATATTATAGATTGAAGTATATGTTTTGGTGGAAGAGATTTATCACTTGATCTTGTTATTTCACCTAAAGATATACAATACATCATTAGACAACAAACATTAAGATATATTGGTAATTGAATGTAATCTCATTTCAATTAAATTCTTTGATACCACAATCAGTCTTACTATTCAGAAGCTCTAATTATACCGTGACACGCGGTGTCATCTACCACTTTGGAAATAGATTATATATATGTAGGGATCCGAAGCATTGAATATATTATTTTCTAGACTTTGACATTATCTCTAAAATAGTAATCCTCTATTACATTGAATAATGTTCTAATTTCAAAAACATTATGGACAGTAATTAAGGCCTTTGGGCAGAAGTGAAGTAATTCATTTTTGTTTAGGAAATGGTACCAACAATACATTACAAATTCTATTTGGCCTATTGTAAGCGCAAATGATAATAAAGCTTAGCTTGCATTTTATCTAATATTCATAAAGAAGGATTCCGGGTGAAAAAAAGTGTATGCAACACTTGAACTACAGAAATTGTTCATGTTCATACATGCCTTCCCATATTTTCATTGATACGCTCAAACTTGTCTCATTTTTATTATGAGTGTGTTCAGAAATCATAAATTGATCATATAAGTTTGGTATCTTTAGTTATGTAAGCCTAAAGTATTTGACAGTAGGAAATAAATTCATTACACGAGAATAATTCGAAATACTGGTCACTGAAACTAGTGTAACTTCAGCAAATAGACATTTGCCAAATATGTTTTTCCATGTGTGTAAGAAAATTTATGCACCCAATAATCATAATAAATTTAAAATATGATTTGTAATTCCAAGTCATAAATTGTAAATTATCATAACGAAGAGCGAGGAATACTTATATGACGTTAATAATCGAAATAATGAGGCCAACTAGCCATGGATTGTTATGTGAACGAAATTAGCTAGTTAAAATAACTGAATCAATCTCATTAAAATAATTGGTAGTATAAGACCAATTAGCTAAAGCTACTGGATCAATTGTAAGTTGATGTTTGAGTTGCTTTCGCAGATTTCTTTTGCAAGCAGAAGCATGAAGAATAAAAAGAGGAACTATGCAGATAATAAGTATGAAGTTAAGAGATTTTTCTTGTGTTAAATCAGGTAAGATGTCATATCATGATTTAGTGAATTGCCTGTTATTTGAAACGTCGCAAACGGTTCCATCCTGAAAGATTTAGAAAACAAATTTCTGAACTTGGTAAATTTTCATCAGTCAAACTCCTAACCACTCTCCATTCGGCCTTGTAAAACCGAATGACGCCATATTGTTAGAGTCTTGATAACCTCTTGAAAAAGTATTTAGAAACCGTAAAATTTTGAAAATACCTTGAATAACAAGCTTTGTTTAGGGACTTCCAAAGGAAAAGCTCTAGAAGATAACTAAATACATTGTTACTATCCTGACTGAATAATAATAACCTCAACGTTCCATATACGTCTACAGAAACTCTTTTTTGCATCTGAACCAACGTTTGAGATAAAACCTCACTTGGTTCTGTGTTTCGCCCGGGGTGTTAATCCCTCATTAACAAAACGCGTTGCATATAGGAACTGAATGTGAACACTGGTCATTATTAGTACCCCTTTTCATGAAGTAACAGGAAAACTAGCATATACAAACAGGCGAGAGCTTATTTTTGGTGAAGACTTGAAATACAAAAAACAAAACTGACAATTTAATTTCAATAGACTTCAAACTTACACAAAACATTACAATAACAAGAACTAGAAGAATCTTATTTACGCTTCTAGCTAAGACAGTATCGCTAACCTTGAGCTGTAATTAACTAGATCAACTGTTTTTTGGCTTTTTTTAAATACTGATTAGACATGTTTATTTTAGGTGTCTTTCACCAGTGTTTTTTTTATTCCAGGCAAGCAGAGTTAAGTTGAAGCTTAAAGGCTAAACATTTCAAAAATACTAAACGAGGTTCATACTGGGATATTAATTCGAAATCTTCAAAGTAGTCATAGTAACCGTTCTGAAATTTGAGTAGAGAGGTTTTTGTTGAAAATACAAAGGGTTTATTTCAACACGTTTCAGAGTAAAGACAACAGCTATCTATGGTGAATAATCGCTAAGCACTAACAAATATTTTATTGCACCTTGTTCTTTGAGTTAGTTGATAACTATGACCAATGGAACTCGAACAAAATTATTGAGCATCAATTCGTTCCAGATGTTAGATAAATCTTCTTGACGAGTTTCAATTGGCAACTAGTCTAGGTTCCTATGTTCCTCCTAATCACCTTTAACCACGCAAAACGAAAAATAACTACCTCTTTAAAAGTAATAGTTGTTTATTCTTCTCATTCATGAAACCGAGAAACAAGGTTCACTTAATAAACATTATGATCAGACTAAACAACAAAGTCTAGGAGATCACGTCATCTTTCAAAAAAAGTTGTTTTTTTTTCTAATAATTTCCACATGATTTCGAAAACTTATCGATTTGTCTTATTAATAAAAATTATAATATTATGAAAATATTTTGTGCTTATTTGTTTCATGTTTTTTGTTTTGTTTTCCTAATTTATCATAATAATAACAGAACGTTTTGTTTTTCTTCTCTAAATACGTTTTGTCTGGAAAATACAAACTACAAATAAACCAAAGTTTAAATCGAAATTGCAACAAACGTTTGTGATTTTAAACAATTTTCTCAATCACGATCATGAAGTGATCTTAGTTAGTCCATCAATAAAAGCCTGGGGGCATGAATCTGCCGTTTCGCCTGGGTATGGTACTCTTTAGTATTGAGCGTTCACGACGCCGCAAACGGATATCGAATAAAGTGACATTTGTCTCATGAGCGAATGATACAGCAAGATCGTGGATTAACTAAACTTAGACATTAACAGTGTTGAATACTGGCTCATTGGTTTAAGTGTTCATGCCTGAGACCGAAAAATCTGTTTGATCCCCGCTTGGGGCATCGTAGATGCGCAATACTGTGAAGACCAGTACTTGCAGGTTTCCAATGATTGTCTAGCTAAGTTTATTTCGTGATTTCACCTGCGAAAATACTGCGATCTCTAAAAATAACCTGTATCAGCAGTTATTTTAGAATCACATTGGTTTTTTAAAGTTAGCTAGAGAAAACTAGTGAACTAAAGAAGGTAAGGCACAAATGAGAGCAACATTTTTGTTACAGTATAATTATCAACAACTTTTTTGCTGTAAGTAAGGGTAGAATACGCAGACACACTGTGAATCATTAATAACAGAATAAATATGGACCTTTCTTGATTATTGTTTTCGAATTATACCTTCTTATGTATAATTAACAGATGTTTATAGAATACTTGGTTAGGCTATTTAATTTTGTTTTCTGTGAGTCCTCACCATAGTAGTGTACTTGACAATACGTGGATTGTTAGTGGTCGAATGATGAAGATAGATTTTGTTTCATCAGTTAATCCACGTGTTTTCTGAAAGAGATAAAACTTGACTAATATTACCGAATGTTTTGAAAACTTGACACAGTACCAATACTGTGCTTTAATGGATGAATATGTTTTTTAGTAAAGTTTAGTCAGATTTTGTATTTACTTGTGAACATCAACTCTGGAATGCAAGTACATCCAGCTTACAAGTCACAGAGAGGACGAAGCGCGAGTTTTGAATTCCACTACTAAATATTTATTTACTAGAATAGGGTTTGTGGAGATTATTAAGTTTTTGATTGAGATCATGAACCGATTGATGTTAGACCATCACAATTGAAAACCTGGAAGCACTGGACGGCCGTTTCATCCTATTGTGGGACTCCTCAGCAGTGCGCACCCACGATCTCGCTCGCGGGATTCGAACCCAGGGCCCTCGGTCTCGCGCGCGAACGCTTAACCAACTGGACCACTGGGCCGGCATCCAGTGGTGATAGTTTCTAACATCAACCAATCCACGAAATTGCCTGACCAACTTCCGTTGTACTGAGGTAGATACCTGTCTCTACCCGACAAGGATTAGCTCCACTGGTCACTTGGATTGTCTTACAGTTTTCTAAAACTGTTGTTGATTGAATTTCTCACTTCACCGAAAATTAAAGCGAATGAAGCTTGTAATTTGATTAGTACATTTCAATCAGACAACAGAACATACATAAAGTCGATTAAAATTGTAAACATTGTATACTTAGTACGAATAATTTTAGTAATACATTACTATTAGTACAATTTAAATGAATCCCTCGTTTCGGCCTTAAAAGTGTTGGATATTTTTTCAAAAAGACTTGTAATATGTGCACCTATTCTTGTATACACCAAAGGTATATTTGTCACTTGAGACGTCTACTGAACGGATCCTGACTTTGATATTGTTTGGAAGTCGTTTTGAGTTCCATATGTTCTCCAACTGTAGGAATTCTGTCCTTGCTTTGCCATTCTTCGCTTTTACATCTACATCGGATCTTCCTTGTTCATCGATTATGCTGTTCAGGTTCGTGAAAGATTCTAACTCTTCCAGAGTTTCTCCATCATGTGTGATTGGATTGGCGTTCTTTGCGTTGTGTCGTAGGATCTTGGTTTTTCTTTTGTGCACGTTGAGACCTACTGACAGAGGCTGCTGTTACACTAGTTGTCTTCATCCCCATTTCCTCGTGTGTAAGGGACAGAAGAACCAGGTCATCCATGAAGTCCAAATCATCTAGTCGCATGCAAGTTGTCCGTCATATTCCGTGCTTTCCGTCAGATGCTTCCGAAAAGTAGATAATCGACTGAATAACGTGACCAGTTTATAGATCTTTCTTGGACTTTAGATACACAAATACAGTGGAATTTAGATTATAAAATGAGACTTTTAATGATATTCCTATCGGCCAACCGCGTAGCCTTGAAGTTCATTAAAAACAAAATAAATACTCCCGTTTCACATTGTCAACAATACCGTTGCTTTTAGGACATAACTTAGTAAATAAAAAGAGGTTAATGAAAGATGGTTAGTGGGTACCAGTGGAACTCAGGATGAGCGTTTCGGCCTATTTGGGACTCGTCGGTTGAATATACCTGCATCGCAGGGTTGATGTTCATTTTGGGACTCGAACCCAGTAGCGTTCGCTCCGAACGCCATGGGCTTATCCACTTAGCCACTGAGTTCTGGTAGCCACTTGCTTGTGTAATGGGGTAAAGTTATATTCAATTGGTGTTGTCTACTCGTATCTTCGCATCGTTATGTAGGACTGCATTTGATGCAGGTACATCCAACTGACGAGTCCTAACTAGGACAAAATGCGTGTCCTGGACTCCACTGCTAACCACTATCCATCTTTGCTTATAAAGCTTGTGACTTCAGGTCATATCGAGGCAGTCCGCATAGGATGCACATATACCAACACGAGACTGATCAGTTGCAGTCCTAAATAACAGTTGGAAGATACAAGTAAAACAACACCAAGTGAATAAAAAAGAGGTTAATGTTTATTTAAAATCATTATTGATTAATAACTAACATGTTATGAAAATATGAAAATGAAGTATTCATACTTACCACATTTTCGTGATGAACGTCTGAAACTGTTTTTAATTAAACTCTTTGTTAGAGATACAATAACTATGAGAACAATATTTGAAATCATTCCAAAAACTATTAAAATTATTAGAAATTTATGACGTTTTTCGTTCCATGTTGGATTGATCGTTTTAACTGCAATCAAACTATCGTTCATAATGTTTCTTTATCAAAACAATGAATATCAGCAACTATTTTCAATGAATATGAAATCTGATATTCAATAATGGATGTAAAGAGTTTCTGAAATTTCGAAAAGATTTAAATGAGCTATTAAATAAAATCGAATCTGAAATTATTTTATCTACTACTTGAAATTCTTTTAAATAATATGGTTGATTATTTCTGTGAATTTGATAAGGAACTTCAAACATTTATCATTTTTACTCTTTGAAATATTGACCTTATATTGTGTCTAACATTTGTTAAAGGGTTTGTTTTTCATTTTGTCGAGAATTTATCAACTAGATATACCTGAGTCCCACTGTTGATAAGCAATCTCGATTGCCGACAATCAGAAAAGGGACTTATACAGAAGATAATGTCAGTAATCACTTTACTGATTGGACAAGTTGTCAGATATCGTTATTTATTAGCTCAGTGTCTTTTAAAACAATCACTTATATGTCTCATCCTCAGTATGAACATCAAAGTTAAGTTCCAAGTACATTACGATGATGAGGTCCAAAGTGACAGAAACTCGTACACCATATTGAACTCAGATTCATGATCGAAAATACAATCAATAATATCACAATTTTCAGTATACACAACTGGTATTATTATTGTTTTGCCATTATTATTTTATAAATAATGAAGTTTAGTGGACGGTGATACTCAAATGTTTTATCAATAACACGCAATGGAAATTAATTCACTCTACTATTTATCGGTTGATTAAAACTATTAGGATTTCGAAATCTTTGATTTTAAATATACATAACATACACAAAAGAATTTTTAATAAAAGAGTACCTTTGCATTAAACGTTACTTTATATCAACTCTAGATTTTTACAACATGACAGAGACAGCGAATAAATTTTATTATTTCGTAACATTTAGAGATAAACTTCATTATCACTCTCTTTACATCTACTTTTATATACATTTCAATACAGTTACTCATAAATTTTGTCAATCAACGTTTTGGGACAATTCAGGATTTTTTCATTTACGGACCAGAAATAATAGCACATCTAAATTGTTGTAGTTCATATCACGGATTAACTTTGGCTGAATAACTAGTGAAAACAACTATTTCGTTGCAATATAGGGAACGTCATCAGTGTGAGATTAGGAATCTGTCAATAATGGAGATTGAGATCATCAGTTTTCAAATTGAACAGTTCACACAAGAACGTCATATTAGAAATTTTTCACAAATAACAACTACAAGATTATCCTAGTCATTATTTATAGACATCAACTTTTGTCATAGTTTACTTGATCGTGAAGATATTACAGTAATTTGAGAATGATTTATTTGTTCATTAATTACTTTGTTCGACCATAACATAAACTTGGATAATTACGTATAACAATTTATACTCTTTAAATAAATAACATATTTGTAATATCCCAATGAGTACAAAAATTAGATTTTCTGACGTTTCATGACTCAGTGTAAGCCGCTTCTTCAAAGAATAAATAACCAAATTAATATCAATCCAAGTTTAAATAGTACTCTTTTGTTGTAAGCAACTTTTCAACTCTTTGCCGGTGGAAATTTGAATGTTTTACCTTATCAGAGACTACTATCATAGCAATATCATTAATAATAATAATAATCACCTATTAACAGTATTCAGCTTGACCGATTACATAAAATATATGAAACCGTTCGAAAGACTTGCATTACAGTACAAATCTACTGAGAGAGAAAAAAACGATAAACGTCACTTCAAAAGTGTGACAATTTTTGTTCGAACCATAGGTTGCACAACCTTGAAAATCTATGTTATAAGACATAAAATAAATGAAAATAAATTTGGAAAAAAAACACTAACAACAACGACAGTGACTGGATTTGTTGAATGAACAATTCTTTATGGTACAATTTCAAAATTCTTTTATTTAAATAAATTTTGTTGAAGCGAACTAACGTTTATACAATTTGAAAGTTAATATACACTTACTATAGAAGAGATGATATACTGACTAACTTAGAACAAAGAAGTTGGCTAACAACTATTAAAGTCAATTCTCTTAATTGATATATAGATAAAATAAGAATCAAAAGTGGAGTTAAACATTTTTTATTGAAAAGTATTTGAATTCTCAGTGATTTAAATATCAGAGATAGGTTTTTTAGAGATAGTAGTAATTTAATAATTGAATTCATGAGTCGATCGAAACTAGAACACTATGGGAAATCTAGAAGCACTGAACGGCCGTTTCATCTTAGTATGGGACTCCAGAGCAGTGCGCATTCACGATCCCGCCTCGCGAGATTCGGATCCACGACCTATCGGCCTCGCGCAAAAATCCTTAACATCAAGACCACTAAGCTGGCCAGCATCCAACGGTGTTAATGTCTAACTTCAACTAATCCACAAAATTGGGTGACACATTCACCATTAACTTCAGTGGGTTACTATCTTACAACAGACTCGGTTTATATATAACAACTGTACGATATTGAAAAGAAGACTTCTTTATTTCAAATTAATCATCTATTTCAAATGAACATATTTTCAAGCTTTATTGATTTTCTTCGAGATATTATTCAAGCGATCTCGATTCGTGTCAAAATTGTAAAGTTTCAGAATGAAAAAAATAATTTCACTGCATCAAAATATCATAATCTTATTATTCCTTTTAAACTTGGCAGATAATTAGTATCAATAAGAATATAATAATAATAGTAATAATAATGATATTAATTTATTAGACCTTTATTGGCAAATTTTGATCATTTGTAACAAAGAAAATTTGACACATTGACAACTTAACGTAAGTTATTTCTTTTAATACAAAATAATGTTTACTAGATGTATTTAATTAGTAAAAGACATTTTAAAAAATTCTCTCAGGTTTTTTGTTTTTTGATGATTACAATTTTTATTAATCAGAGTAGGGGTTTTTGTGAATATCATAGTAATTTAGTAGGTCAATTCATGAGTCAATCGAAAGTGGACTACCATGGAAAACCTGGAAACACTAGACGGCCGTTTCGTTCTAGTATGCTGCTCTTCAGCAGTGTGCATTCACGATGCCGTTGTCGTGAGACAGTAGCTCACTAAAGACAATGCTGGATCTGTCACTCAATTACATGGATCAGTTGAAGATAACCATTAGACCACTGATCTGGCCGGCATTCAATGGTGTTAAGTTTCACGTACGAGACTAATACGTCCTGGAATCGAATCTCACGGAGCGGGATCATGCATGCGCACTATTAAGGAGTCCCATACTAGGACGAAACGGCCGTCCACTGCTTCCAGTTTTTCCATGGTGGTCCAGCTTCAATTGACTGATGAATTCAATTATTAAATTATTTATTCGATAGAGGGCAAGTTATAAAATTCTGAAAATTCACTTTATTGTATTTAAATATATAAAATAAAGCCTCTACTTTTTAAATTTCTCATAAACAGTTCATTTAGCAACTTAATTAATTCAAATTATATCAGTGATAACATATATATTTTCAGATATTCTAATCTAATTATCATATTTAAGAGGCATAAGTAGTTTGATTAAATTTTTATCCAGGACATCAAGGTGATTTAATAATCAGTTTCAAATATTTGGAAGTTTTCAATAAACAAATACTTGTACTTGTCCTTATATCTTTAAATAATCAAAGTTAGTTTATAGTAAAATTGGTGAATATTGCTTACAGATATGGCTTCATATTCTTGGAATAAAACATGTGAAGACATCCTAACATTTCACTTCACCCGGAAAATCGTGCTGATTATGTCGTCCAGAAGAACGATGAATGGTTCACAACCAAACCATTTAGCTCAGAGAACAAAACTCCATCAAAATCACACACCTGATCTACAAATCTCCACCATCTCAAAACCGTATAAATATTCACCAAAACACATTTTTAAACTGGTTAATTATTGGGTAAATATCATGAGTATGACAATGTTTTTTTCGATGAAATTTTTTTGTTTACAAATGTACCATTCAAAAACACTATTGATATTTTATGTAACTAGATATTTTAGAATAATATTTCATTATCTTATAAAAATGAAAGTTTTATCATTATTATTACCTGAGCAAATTCAATTCACTTTTGATTGTGAGTTATTTTGACAGATTCGTGAGGTGACTGTAGGTAGATCTTTTGGATTGTTTTCTAACTAATGTTTATGTTACATTTTAAACATTTATCTGATGGATTAATCGACAATATGCGCCTTTACAATTCTGTACGTATATGATCCTGTAGCAATATATGACAAGCCTAGTGATGCGAGCTTCTTTATAAAGGTACTTTATAGAACTCTAAGGCACATCAATCTCTCATTTGCAGAAGGGATGTATAAACAGCTTTTTCTCATAGATATATATTAGGAGAAAAAGTTTCGATGAAATGTGCCATTCATCAAAATCCTATATGGACAGGTCAGTATCTTAATTTTCATAATCATAGTTCAGTCTAATTTAAAAGAAGATTGATGATGGGCATATTTAATATAATTATTGATATTTACGCAAACGATACTACTGAGGATGAAGTCTGTTACATGTAACACGGAAACAAAACTCGGAGCTCATTACGTTGTAATCTCCTATGATTGGGGTTCCAGGAACTAATTCCTATATCACATTCTCATTCAGTTTTTGGTCACTTATCTTCGTGTTAAAAAGCTTCAATTACCGACTAGTGCTCCTTATTAAGCGCTCTATTCTCTCAATAGCGAAAAGATAAAACTTTTGTTTTGACGAAAATCTAGGGTAGTATTAACGAGGACCTCATATCCTGCTGTTTTTTATTTATTTATGTGTGCAGACACACAAATGTAGGAATGAGGGAACGTGTTAAAACTTATTCTTAATTTAAAATCCAAAGTTCTATAATGTTTGCAATCAGTATTAACTTTGCTGTTGATTTTCTTTTGATCAGCTGTTAGGATGTTTTTCCTTTTCATTTAGAAATCACAACAATTTTATGCGTGATTACACTATTCGAAGTGTATAACACTAAATTAGTTCTGAAAAACTTCGTATTTTTCATTACAGTATGCTTATAATGAATTAATTTTCTTCATCAAACATAGT